TAGTTATTCGACCAATATAGCCTGCCCCACAGGAGCAAGTGAAAGGCTGGATGCCCACTGAAGAGGACGGAAAATGCAGTCTATTCCTACCTTCATGATGAATAAACCGACTGCTTGTGAAAACTATATTTATCTTAGAGGCTAGATACGTGCGCGCGATAACAGCGTTCATTTTTTGCTATCCTGTCCTCCCTTATATTTCTGTGCAGTCCTGATGATGAATAATCAAAAGTGTGGTTAGCAGGACTTGACTATTTTGATGGTTACGAGAAAAATAACCTGGAATTTCCATGGGTTCGGACACTAGAAGCAACCTTCCGTCTTATTTTTCGCATTAATAGTAATTCACATCTTCCTCGGAATTCAGCCATCACGCCTGTTAGTCGCATATGCAACCTTCACAAGTTTTCCCTGGTCTTGCCTCTTCCCGCTTTCTCCACCTCTAAACCTTCCGTCTCCCCCACTGTTTAAGTCGGTTTATTAAGGGAATGAGGCTTTCGCCCGTGAGCTCCCTATCAAAATCCAATTATGTTAATGCAATAGGGTGTATAACAACGCTCACAAGGCAAATCAGACAATTCAGCGACAGAGATGTGGAGGTACAGATAGATGAAATAATGATAAGCCGCTGTAAGTATAACCCTGACCGACTGAGAGGACAGTGTTTGCCTGTTGAAAATGGTGGCGTTTTCGTAACAGATGAAAGGAAGACACATACCCACTAGTAAAAGGCATTTACCCATCAGGTATATATTTTTGAGAAGAACATTTAATCCATATAAGATCGCCAAATGGTCTGTGTAGTTTTCCTAGCGGACTGTGCCTTTATCTTAATGCTGGCTCGATTAGCACATTATTTTCCTCATCCTTTTGGGCACCCTTCTCCATGATCTTCAGAAAGAGTAATTAGGCGTTTGGGACACCGCTACCGCCAAAGTGCATTATCCACTCACGTTTCCGTCTTTTCGTGTGCTTTCGCTTTTTACCATCCGTCAGCGGAAATCCCGATCTATTTAGTTTGTGCATCGTGCCTTTCACAGTGCTCGATGCCCATCCTAACCAATCTCTAAGAGGAACCACCTTCGCCTCGCATGACGCTTGCCCTCGTCAGGTTTCCGTTTTTCTTGCAGGAATGTCGAGGCCCCACGTAAATTTTCAGTCACAATCTGGGTCTGGTATTCCCAGGCATAATACAATGACGCTTCGACCTCACTTGCTGATTTGCTTTTATAGTTTAGTCCTACTTTTTGAAAGAACCTTCTCTGCAACTCCGTACCCCTTCGTGAAGTAGTTTTTCCACCCAAGTATTTCTGGAAGTGAGGGTTCCCTTAACTCACCCCTACCTTATGAATTAATGGTAGTTTTTCACCACTTCGTTCATGGCTTAGCATTTTTTCTAAAAACTTTTAAATTTTTGGATATTTTTATCATCAAAAGTATCTTACATTAAAGGGAAAATCGCCGACGGACGTGGGAAACGCTGTCTACATTACATAGCTCGCTTTCTAAATTCCACCGTTCATTTGACGGCACAGGCAGACCATTAGCACCTCTATTGCATACTTTTACCAAGTGACTTAGTGTTAATTTTTTCTGGTTAATGCCGTCTGGACTTTTTGACATGAAGCTATTATATTAAATTCTTTGACCCACTCGTTTGGTCAAACACGAAGTTTGTCCATGTTCAATCGTTACTTCTTTTTGTTATAAATAAAAAATGAATAATTTTATTGAGTGCCCTTCACGGTACTTTCATGACAAAGACGTCTGTCTTTACACCGGATTTTTATGTCGGCTGCGAATGCGAGGGGCTCTCAATCTATATCACCGATGCAATCATTGACATGAATCAGGAAGAGTAGTAGGCATAAACTGCAACATGCGAGACATCATTTTCCACTTAAGTTCATTCCGAGGAACAATTACCAACGACGATCGCTGCATTGTGAAGCACAGGCAACTCCCAGTTCACTTAAACAATCTCCCCCGAATTCCAATTTCGAAAATTAGTATGCAAAAGAAGCCTGTGTGGCACGATATCACAATTTGTCCTGACACCTTCTAAATGACCCCACTTGTTGCCTCTGTCAATCTCTCATGGAAATAGAAAGCACTCGTGATGGAAAGGTTAACTTTGGAAAGCCATGTTAGACATCATGTATTACTTGTTTTCTGCTAGGTATCCATCAAATGGCTTTGATAATGAGCTCCACTATTTTACATGCAATGCATGTTAGACTGACAGGAAGGCAATTTTCGCAGGAAAGTCGCAAACCTCCCCTGCATATTAAGGTGATGAATGCATACTCCCATTCTTTCGGAAATTCCTCTTCTTCAGTAGACTTTTGTAATATTATAGAATGTTTAAAAGACGACGAAGGCACGATCACTGGGACGGTAGATTTACTGGACTTAGCTTTCAAACTCGAACTGGAGTTCATCATCAGTGATCGTGCCTTCGTCTTCTCTTAAACAAGAACCTCGGATGCCAATATTCTCCTCCATTCGTATCATAGAAAGTGGCTTCCAGGACTCAGTAACGAGCTTTCGAGGTGCTAACGCTGGTATTCTACCCCAAATATACGATTTGGAAAGCTTCAGTCGCTGCCGTTCAGCCCTACGGCCATAGGAAAGTAAAGTTCCTTTACGTAGGAGGAAGAGGACGGAGAGCAAAGTGAAACATTGCTTACGGGGCATTTTGGCCATTATCCTTCCCTAGTCCGTGTTCCAAAGGTAACGCTCTGATAGACAAATCGGTCCGTTGCCCATTGTAGTACTTGGTGAGTTATCTGTCAGGTCCTTTGAATTCTGTCTTGACCAGTTAATACCAGGAGCGTTGAAATCCCCGAGGATAAGGACATCTTTTTTCTCTTTGACTTTGTTCAGTTCAGATATTATAACAGTGGTACGCCACGGACATCGTTAGCGACCGTGGTTTAGTTAGCTGATATAGCGGTGCTTAATAGTCCCACTTCCGTGCCGGAGTATGCCCCTAGCCATAGTGGTCAGCCCGCCAGCGACGTAAACCCTGACTCCTCCTCGGTCTGCTCTGTCTCTTTTGATGGGAGACTTTACTCCCCAAATGTCAATTCAAGCAATACAATCAACACGGTGGACTTCACAACAAACACAGTAAGGAAAACTTTGAGTCAGTTACAACCCACTAAATCGCCTGATCCTTACGGCATACTCTAAAAAGTCTTGAATAAAAACTCAGACCAATTGGCCTTCCCAATATCCGTTATCGAATGAGGCCAGCTCTCCGCCTGCCGACTGGAAGCAAGCCAATATAAGCCCCATATATAAAGATGGCGCGAGAGCAGCCCCATATAGTTTCGAAGCAGTGAGACTCAGAAGCATCTGTTGAAAAGTGATGGAAAAGGTTATAAAAACGGAGCTGATGTGACATCTTGAAGAAAACAACTTGCTTTGTTTGCGTCAGCATTGATTAGGAAGGGGTAGAGTATGTCTTCCCAACCCGTTAGTATCCATGGCGAACTGGACAAAATAAATCAAAACGAGTTTATCAGTCGGCGCATTGTACAGTGACTTCAGAAATGCTTTTGACAGTGTTCCACACGGACGACTTATATTTAGACTACATCAAGTAGGCGTGAATGGATATCTGCTGAAATGGTTAGCCGATTTTCCTACGGGCAGATCTCAGCGTGTGTGTATCGGAAACGCTAAATTGGAACGGGCATTCGTTCACAGTGGCGTTTTGCGGGGAGCGTCCTGGGTCCAATTATATTCTTAATATATGTAAACGACTGCCTTGACTGTCTGAACTGCAAGTCCGCAGTGTTTGCCGATGATCTCAAATTGTGGTAGTCAATAGAGAAGTCGGAAGACTCTCTACAGTTACAAAACAATCTGAGTCGCTTTCGACAGTGGTGTGATGAGTGATGTCCTAACCTCAACTTTGACAAATGCCAAATTATCTGATTACGATTTAGCAACTGGCGGCCGTTGAGTTTTGAAAACCACTACTTAATACGAGGTCACCAACTCGAATCAATGAGTTAAGAAACCTCGCCGTGTGGATCACATCAACTCTCAAATCATCGTCTCACTGGGTCAAGGTATCAAAGAAAGCTATTGATATCCTATGCATGATTAGAAGATCCATCTTCAATTGTGACGAAGAACTTTTCAATCGAGTATTTGAGACGTTTGTTTGGCCAGTGTTGGAAAATTGTGTTGAAGCATGGTATCCGTGGACAAAAGAAGATTACACCCTATTGGATAACATAGTTCGACCGTCGATTTCGACGATGTCCACCGTATGCCCCACAGCTGCAGCAGCGGTGGGAGCAGGGACGGTGACTTGCGCGGGGGTTTATAGTGCCGGTAGACTTGCGCTGCATCTACCTACACTCTCTCCTCCTCCCCCG